CCTGAGTCACCAGGAGGATGTCAGCCGCCCCAGGGCAGGGATCACTGTCTGTCTTGTTCACTGCCAGGTCCCCAGCTCGTAGAACCAGATCCAGCACATAGACGGTGCTCAGTAGATAGCTGCTGGATGAACAGATGGACGAACAGACCCCACGTCACAGGCAGGGCTAGAGATTTTACTGCTGATGAACCTAGAGTGGGGGGCCGGCTCCAGATGTTGCAGGTGGTGGGGACGGTGTGGCTCCAGCCCCTCCCTGTACCTCAGACTTGACTCTGAGGACTGTGGGAGCCACTGAGGGATTCTTGGCAGGGGAAGAACTGACTGAGGATTGCATTTCTCAAAAGATAAGGCTCTTTGCAAACCAAGTCTCCCCCAATAAGGGGCCAGAGGAAGAAACAGGAATAGATTTATCTGACACCAAAAGAACTTAATGCATCGACAAGGGTAAACTCAAAAACATTGTGTAGAAGGGAGATTAAAAAAAGCAAGTAGAGGGCTGCCCCTGGCCGAGTGGTTAAGTTCCAGCGCTCTGCTAGGGTGACCTAGGGTTTCACTGGTTCGGATCCTGGGCACAGACATGGCACTGCTCATCAAGCCACGCTGAGGCGGCAGCCCACATAGCACAACTAGAAGGACCCACAGCTGAAAATACACAACTATGTACTGGGGGAATTTGGGGAGAAAAAGGAAAAATAAAATCTTTAAAAAAAAAAAGCAAGTAGAAAAATGATACAGTTTGACACTTAGATCAACCACTGAAAACAGAAGGTGAAACTATGTAGCAAGTTGGCAGAGTGTATGGAGCAGCTGGCTGCAGGCTGCCCCGGCTGAGGCGCTCAGGCTACCTGTGTTCCAATCCGGCCACTACTGCACACTAACAGTGACGCCCTGGGCAAGTCACTTCGCTACTCTGTGCCTCAGTTTCTTCATCTGTAAAACAGGATGATAATAGTGGTGCCTACCTCATAGAGTTGCTGGGAGCTTATTATGAATTAATTCTTCTAAAGCACAGAAGAGGGGAGCAGTAATTGTTCGGTATCATTTTTATTTAGAATGCTGTTTCTGTGTTGGTGGAGGGGAATGGAGCTGGGGAGGTGAACACAGGTGACTTCCACTTTATAGAGTGTTATGTCATTTATTCATTTATTTATATTTATTTTTTTTGAGGAAGACTGGCCCTGAGCTAACATCATGCCCATCTTCCTCTACTTTATATGTGGGACGCCTGCCACAGCATGGCCTGCCAAGCGGTGCCATGTCCGCACCCGGGATCCGAACTGGTGAACCGCAGGCCATCGAAGCAGAACATGCGCACTTAACCACTACGCCACCGGGCCAGCCCCTATGTCTTTTATTTTTAATCCTTTTTTTGACTGTGGCACAATTTACGTGTGGTGAAGTGCACAGACCTTTTGGGCTGCAGCTCCTTGAATTTTTAGATCTGTATACACCCTGTGGGCGTCACCCGGCCCACCCCCACCGCGTCAGTTTCGTGCCCTTTGCAGCTTCTTCCTGCAGATTCTATCGTCACAGACTAATTCTGCTTGTTCTTGAACTTCATACCACGTGGAATCACCTTATGATTCTTTTATATCTGGATTCTTGCACTCAACATGTTTTGTTTTCTATTGTAAGAAAATTCACATACCATAAAACCCAGCCCTTTTTTTAAGTGTGCAGTCCAGTCATTTTTAGTATCTTCACAAAAAACATGATGTTTCTGAGATCCGTCCGCAGTGCGCTGTGTGTCCATCGTTTATTGCTTTTCCTTTCTACTGCTGTTCCGCGGTGCGGGTGGACCACAGGCTCTTTGCACGTCCACTTGTTGACAGACATTGGGTTTGCTTCTAGTTTGGAGCCATGGTGCATGAACAGTGTTCCTTGCGCATACCTTCTTGTGGGCAAAATGTGTTCCATTGACTGTTTGAGCCACACGGAGGAGGACTGCTCGGTCATGACAGATAGGCCTGTTTAACCCAATGGGTCGCCAGCAGGGTGATTTTGTCCCCTCCCCCAGGGGGGACGTGAGCAATGTCTGCAGACATTTTTGGTTGTCACGACTGGTGGGGGGGGTGCTACCATCACATGGAGGCCAGAGCTGCTGCTCACCATCCTGCAGTGTGCAGGGCAGCGGTGCTGAGGCTGCGAACCCCGGGGAACCTTACCACAAACAGCCAACAATCCCACAGCCATCGCCCCGTTTACACGCCCCCCCCAACCGAGGGTGAGAGCTCAGGCTGTTCCGAGGCCGCCTCGGTCCTTCGTATCGTGAGTCGTTTTCTTTTTAGGCATTTGGGTGGGTGTGTTTTAAATCATTTACGTCTTAAAATAATTCTGAAGTGAATCAAGGCAGCATGACAAACGTTAGCATGTGTTCCTCTTGGCTGGCGGACGTACTTTAGGAGGCTCCCATCTCTTCTGGATTTAAAACTGGCACGGACATATTTTTAAACAGTAGAAGTGCCCCCTGGCTGCACAGATCGTGGGTGTGCTGGGGTGTTTTCCTGTTTTCCCAGACTTCTCAACTGGACTCAGCCGGCTTCGGCTGCCTCCTCCATCCTCGTCTCAGATGATCTAGTTAATCCGAGCTCGCCTCCCGCCTGCTTTCCCTGGGCGCCTCCTCTCTCCCCGGGGACTGGTTTTCTCCAGGCTCCCAAGTTACCTGGCTGTGCCCTCTGTTTCCACCTTCAGAGGATGTGGACAAGCCTCCTGGAGGGATGGCCTGGGCCTGCCCCCCTGCAATGGAGATGCTAACGCACGTGCCTCATCCCTCCGCTCCTGGTGGGGATCCAATCTGTGGGTATATTTAGATTTCTCAGAACCAGGCTGAGCACCAGGGTGGGGGACTAGGGTAACGAGAAGTGAAGTACTTGCCTTGGGCATAAAATTTAAGGCGGCGCCAAAACACCTCGAGATACACGGTTTTAATGTAATATTTATTAAAAAATCAAAATTAATGCAGAAAAACCCAAATAAAGCCAGGATCAGCAATCCTGATCTCTTCCTTCCGCCTCAGGGGCCAATAGGGCTCAGCTCCATACAGCACTGTTTCTTAAAGTTTTGCCATTTTGTTCGTTACAGATTTTTTAAATTAATTTTGATTTAAAATAGTGCGTTCAAATACGATTTATGTTGATGCCTGAATTTTCATGCCTCCTGCATCCCGGCCCCTCCAGGCACCCAGGGCGCCCTGTGAATGATGCGGATGGTGTCTGCTTACACCGTGCTGAGCCCCTCCGGCCTGGACACACACTGGTTTCTCTTCGCTGGGCTTTTTGGCTGAAGTTATACGTCCGGTGACTTCAGCTCTGAACCTGTTGTCTAGAACATGGACCCCCAGGTAGCCTACACTAAAGAAGGCAAAGGCTAGAACCTTCTTGCAACACTGTGGAGGAAGGTTTAGCGGTGTCAGGGCCTGAGGGAGAGGGAGTGCTGGAGCGGGCTGATTCTGCTTGGCCTACTTGCTTCCCCTCCCCCTCCCAAATCCCCAAACCTAAACATGGCTGAGAAAAGACTGACAACACCAGGTGCCAGCACGGACTGCAAGTCCCTGGAAGTTCCACACGGTGCCGGTGGGAGTGCAACGTGGAACCACCACTTAGGAAAGCTGTCGGGATCTACTCAAGCTGAGCACACCCGTGACCTCCGGCCACCATTCCCCTCCTAGGTATTTAACCTAGAGAAGTGAACTCAAGTTTGTAAAAATACCCGTACACGCTTTATAAATAATGGCCAATCGCTGAAGACAAATAACTGTCCATTAGCGGGTGAATGGAGAACCCGTCTGGGCTATGCTGCGGTGCGGCCACAGAGTGGAATACTACTCAGCAGTGAAAAAGCATGAAGTCTTGATACGTGCGGCAACATGGACAAATCTCAGAACACTTTGTGAGCAAAAGAGGACAGGCACAAGAGACGACCTACTGCATGATTCTATCTACGTGCGATCCGAGAACAGATCAAACCACTGATGGAAATCCACAGTGGTTGCCTCGTGGGCGGGGACAGGGCTGTGGCTGACTTGACAGGGGCCCAGCAGAACCTTCCGGGGCCGCAAATGTTCCACGTCTTCGCCCGTCAGGTCACTCGGGTGACAACCGTCAAAACTCATGGCCCTGTTACTTTTACAATAAACTTTACCTCGGTAACGTTCTTGGGGAGAAAATAATCTAATACGGGGAAAAAGTGAGCATTAAAAGAAAGTTTCTTGCCGAAGCATCCTGGTTGCGGTTCTGCCGCCTGAGCCCGAGCGGTCGCCAGCAGCGTCTAACCCAGGACGCCACTCTCAGCCGAGGGAACTGCCCCGACCGCCTGTCCGCCCCCGGGCACCCCTCGCCCACCGCCAGCGCCGCCCGCGCCGCACCGGAGCCCGCGCACGCGCCCTGCCTCCCGCGGGGACAGCGAGGCGCAGGGACACGCCCACAGCGGAAGCCCCGCGCTTCCTGCCCGGCGTGGAAGCCACGCTTCATAAGGGCAAGGCGCTCGCCATCGGCCAACCATCCTGGCTTCGATTGCCAGTACTAAACATGGCGGCGCCCGCCGAGCGCAAAACGCCCATCACGTGACCGAGCGCGGGTGGACGCCGGCCTTAGCCAGCCCACTCGAGCGCCTACTTTTAGATGAACCCAAGGCTGAGACACGCCCTCTTTCCTCTCTCCACCAATAGCCTCCCGGCGGCTCCCGCAAGATCCAATCACCGCTTCCGCCTCTCTTGAATGAAAAGCCAGCGCTCCAGTGAGCGGAGCCGCAGTCGGACGCTGCGGGCAGGAAGCGCGACAGCTCGGGTCGAGGCGCGCGACCGGTAACCGGAGTCGGGCGGCTCTTCTCGCAGCCCGCGGAGGCGAACGGGGGGCCAAGTGAGCGGCGGGCCCGGGGCGCGGGGCTGGGGTGCGGGGACGTGGGGCCCTCGGGCGAGCAGGCGAGGGGATACGCCGGGGTTCGAAGGGAGGAGCAGGAGAGGAGGGCGCGAGACACGGGGGGCGGGGCAGTTGGGGTGCAGGTCGCGCGGCGGCAGCCGTTGGGCGCCGCGCGCATGCGCAAGGGGTGGGCCGGCCGTTGGCGCGCGGGGCGCGGGGCGCGGGGCACGCTTCCGGGAGGGGCTGTCATTGCGGCGGCGGGCCGAGCCCGAGCCGAGGGCGATCCTGCCGTCCCGGCGGCCCCGGGCTGGTCGGGGAGGGCGCGGGCGTGGCGGGCTTCTCCGAGGCCCAGGGCCCCGCCGCCCTGCGCTGCCGCCGCTGCTGCTGCGGTGTTTGGGGCTCGCGGTGCCAGAGGCTCCGGGCGAAGAGGCTGTTCCCGGAGGGCCAGCTCGGCGGGGCGGCCCGTCCCGGGGCACTCGAGGGCGGGCCGCCGCCTCCCCTCCAGGCCGGCCTCGTTCCGAGCTTTGCGTCCTGTCCGGTCAGTTCCCGGGAGGTCCAGTGCCTCAAACGCGTCTGCCCCCAAGTCTGCCCCCCGGCAGAAGCCAGCGACGGTGACCCCGCGTCTGCGCCGCCCCCCGCTCCCTCCTGCCCGCGGCTCCCCGGGCGCTGCTCCCTGCTCTTCCCTGTTTCACGCCCCGCTCTTGTCGGTCCTCTTCCGTTTGGCGACTGGTTTTCCCAGCCGCTCGTCTCCTCCCCTCCGTCTTCTGCTCCGGGCACATCTCTCCCGTCGAGTCCCGATGGAGTCACCTGACTCGGAGCCCTGCTCAGCGCTCCCGTTGTTGAGCAAACACAGTGACGACCTGGGCCTGACCGGCTCCTGCAGCTTCGTCTTCAGCCCGCCCACCCCGCCCCGGTCCCCGGGAGCTTCTGGGGCCGCTTCTGCCACTGGCCCTTCCTGGCTCCTGTGCTGCTGCCTGCGGAAGGACCCCTTCTGTCTTTGCCGGTCTGACTCCTCGGGGCTGGTGTCGGAGGGCCTCTTCCGAGAACCAGGACAGGAGAGGCGCCCACCTCAGCCCTGAGCTTGACCTGGAGGCCTTGGTTCTAGTTCCGTTGGTTCGGCCAGGGCTGTTCTGGGCGCCTTAGGTTGCTCTTAGGTTAGAGCAAGCAGGAAAAGCCCTGAAAGGAGTGGGGGACTCGTGCCTACTCGAGGCGGCAGGGGCAGCAAGGGCAGGTGTGCGGCGTGTCTGAGGTGCAGCTGCAAAGCCAGTGTGAGGGCGCTGGGGTGATGGCCTCTGAGCAGAGGAGGCAGGGCCTGGGGGGCCGTGATGGGGACTCTGGACTTGTTCTGAGTGCAGCAGGAGCTCGGGGAGGGTTTTGAGCAGAGGAGAATCGTTCTCTGACTTAGCTTACATAGGCTCCTTCTGGCTGCTGTGGAGAGTCATGGAGAGGGGTGGGCGATGGGAAACAGGGAGACCAGTGAGGCGGCTCTTGGCCTAATGCAGGCCAGGGGCGGCAGTGTCCAATTGCCCGCCAGCCGACAGTGGATACGCTAACTGCGGTGTTCCCATACGACAGAGTATTACTCAGCCACGAAAAGGGATGAAGTTCTGACATGTGTTGCAACATGGATGAACCTCAGAAACGTTATGCTGAATGACAGAAACCACGCACAAACGTCACATCTCACGTGCTTCCGTTATATGAAGTGTCCAAAGTCTGCAGATTCATAGACAGGGAGGTAGATTAGTGATTGCCAAGGGCGTCGGGAGCATAGGATGAAGCTAAAGGGTGCAGTCTTTTTGAGGTGATGAAGTTCTAAGCCTGTGTACTGATTTCACATTTGTACTGACTCTAAAAGCCGCTGACCTGTACATTTTCAGTGGTGTGTTGTGTGGCATGCGACTATCTCAATAAAACTGTTCTAATTTAAAAGAAAGGCAGGGGAGGGGAGCTTGGGAGCAGTGAGGGCGCAGGGGTGAGAAGTGGCCTGATGGTCCTGGTGGGCTTTGTTGGCTGACCGGACAGGGTGGGTGAGAGAGAAGGGACAGAGCCATTGCGAGAACGGACTGCCTGTTCTGAGCTGGGAGAGCTGGCCTGCAGGAGGAGTGGAGTGCGGAGCCCTCCTTGCGGGGGGAGGTGTGGAAGAGTTGGCCATAGCTGAGTCTGGGGCTGTAGCTGAGTCTGGGGCTGCGGGGAGAGGTTGCCGAGGGAAACACAGCTGGGGAAGCTTCTGCCCAGGGATTAAAGCCCTGGGGCTGGATGGAGTCACAGGACGAGTGACAGGAGGGCCGGAGCCTGGGCCCAGACCCCTGAGTGTCCAGCTCCGGAAGGAGGGCTACTCTGGCACTCGCAGCCTGAGGCTAGAGGCTGGACACTGGCTCCGGCAGGGAGGACCAGAGATGCTGTTCCTGCCTTTGGGGTCCTGGTACTTGCACCCAGTGGGCACCTTGTGTGTGTTGGGTTAAATAAAGCCAGGAGGCGACCGAGCTTTGTGCTAATTCCATTTATCCTCTTGGCTGTATTTTTGTCGGCCTGGGCCCAATGGGAGGCCTGTTCACGACAGCACTAATTATTCCCCTGTGCAGACCACACAGCAGGGGAGCCAGGGCTGGGCAGCCTCTGCGCTCTCACCAGCTTCGTCTCTCCAGCAGCCCAGCAGCCCATCCCCAGAGCTCAGGGTCCTGCCCGTGTGGGCTGGGTGGGGTTCTTGCGGAGCAATGCCGAGGGGGCTTCTCAGGCTAGATGGTCTGAGGCCCTTCCTGTGATCTGAGACCTTAGGGCTGCGAAGGCGGCAACTGTGCAGAGATCTGGGAGCAGCGCGTTCCCGCTGGTGCACTGGGCTGTGAAAGCTCGGGGTGGGGTGCCGCGAGGAGCCAAGCAAGCCTGGGGGTGGTTGACAGGGCCAATGAGGAGGGCCGTGGGGTCCATGGGCAGGAATTGGGGATTCACTGGGAGACAGTGGGAGGCCCTTGGAGGGTAGGGGGATGTGCATGTGTGGGTGTGGCTGGCAGGGTTCGGGGAGCTGTGAGGTGGCTCAGAGGCGTAGTACAGGTGGAGTCACATGGGGAGCACGGGAGAGAGTTGATCAGAGAGTGATGTCTGGTCTCGGCTTCCTCAGCTGGGTGCTTCTGTGCCAGCTCCCAACCCGACCCTGGCGCATCGCGCCTCTCGTCGGACTGGTGGCAGCCGCCCGCAGCTGCTGTGCAGCCTTCTCCCTCAGCTCCCTCGCTGGTGGGTTCTTCTGCATGCATCTCAGCTCAGTTGCCTCCCTCGGCCCTTCCTCCCTCCTCTGTTCTCAGCACCATGGCGGAACAGGATGTGGAAAATGAGCTGCTGGACTACGAGGAGGACGAAGAGCCACAGGCTCCCCCCGAGAGCACGCCAGCTCCCCCCAAGAAAGACGTCAAGGGTTCCTACGTTTCCATCCACAGCTCTGGCTTCCGGGACTTTCTGCTGAAGCCGGAGCTGCTGAGGGCCATAGTGGACTGTGGCTTTGAGCATCCGTCTGAGGGTACGCCTCCCTGGCCTTCCCGCCAAGGCCCTCTCACCGCCCGCACCATGGTCCCCTCGGGACCTGGCACGGGGCCTGCACAGAGAGAGTGTCCGGTTGCTGAGGCTCACACGCGCTCTCTCCCTCAGTCCAGCACGAGTGTATCCCCCAAGCCATCCTGGGCATGGACGTGCTGTGCCAGGCCAAGTCTGGGATGGGCAAGACGGCCGTCTTCGTGCTGGCCACCCTGCAGCAGATTGAGCCCGTCAACGGACAGGTGGGTGGGCGCCTGCCCCGCCAGGCCAAGCTCCCTGAGGCAGCGGGAGCCTGGCTCCTCTGCGTCCAAACGCCCATGCCCTCGCTCCTATGTGGGCCTTTGAAATTAAGTACAGTACTGAGTTGTAACAGAACCCCCCAAAATAAGGCAAGAGAAAAAACGGAGAAGTGCCCACCGTCTGGAGGTGGGCTGTTCCCCGAGTCGTGTACATTTCTAGATGGCAGCGTTCATGACGGTGTCACACACAACGCGGTTTCCTTACTGCCATTGTTGCAGACGGGCGCCAGCTGTCTGCTCATGTGACCAATGTTGTCCTCCACGGTCCTAGGGGATCGTTGGGGTGAACACCAGCCTTCTGCTCTTGTCAGGCTGGGGTGCCCCCCTCAGCCGTGTGTGGGGGCTGGGCTCTGTTTCCTCAGGGCAGGGGTGATTTAGTGGGAGGTGTGCTCTGGGCACGTGGTGCTGGGGGCTTGGGTCTAAAGGCAAGGGCTGCCTCCCTTCGTGGTCATGGGTGGGTCACCGGTGAGGCTGGGTGGGACTGTTATCCAGGCCTGCACCCTGGTGCGGAGACAGAGGCCCCCAGAGCTGTGGGAGGCCAGGGAGGCCGAGGGAGGGAGCTCAGGCTGTGAGGAGGTGGAGATGCGGATGGGGTCCCTGGATGGCCTTAGGGGTGGGAGCGGCCGGCCAGGCACCTCCAGGTATGCTGAGGGAAAAGCACTGGTGTGGGCCCTGCCTTGAGTGTCTCCCCTGCCCGCCCCACAGGTGACGGTCCTGGTCATGTGCCACACTCGGGAGCTGGCATTCCAGATCAGCAAGGAGTATGAGCGCTTCTCCAAGTACATGCCCAGCGTCAAGGTGAGCCCCGTCTGGCCCTCTGCAGCCTTGCTGGCCTCGGCCCCTGTTTCCGGGCTTGGCTGCAGCAGCTGTGTCTAGGGCAGTGGTGGTATCTGCTCCGGAAAAGCCCGATGAATCATGCATGGCCCCCGGAGGCCTGCGTCTCAGCCCTGGGGCTCCTTCTCAGTGGAGTGTGGCCGGGCTCTCAGGCCGGCCTCTGCCCCACGGGGCTCTCCTGTTCCCACCCACAGGCCTGGGGTTTGGGGGCCTGCTGGGGCCTGCGGTGGCAGGGCCACGGACTAGGTGATGGACAGGGTGGCCGTTGGCATGAAAGGCAACTTCTGTCTGCCCACACAGGTGTCTGTGTTCTTTGGGGGTCTCTCCATCAAGAAGGATGAAGACGTGTTGAAGAAGAACTGCCCGCACGTCGTGGTGGGGACACCGGGCCGCATCCTGGCGCTCGTGCGCAACCGGAGCCTCAGCCTGAAGCACGTGAAGCACTTCGTGCTGGACGAGTGCGACAAGATGCTGGAGCAGCTGGGTGCGTGTCCCCCCTGGGTGCAGGGCCGCCGCAGGCCCGCCCAGCCTCAGCCGCACCCTCCCCTGTCCTCACAGCCCCCCGGCCGAAGGTCTCCCCAAAGTGGGGTCATGTGGGCACCCAGCACGCGGGCCTTCTGTGAGTGAACTGGGGAAAGTTCTAGTGTTGGCAGAATGCGGCCTGCTGCCTCTGAGCCCAGGCCAAGTGGGCCCACAGGCCCGCAGGAGCGTTTGATGGGCACACACACGGCAGCCCTAGCAGGGCCATGGCCTCGCGCCTGGGGCTACTCTTCAGCCCCACTGGCCGGCGGGAGGTGGGCTTGTGCCCGGCGGCGGCTGCAGCCCTCACCCAGCGGCTGTCTCTGCCTCAGGCTCCCCTCCCTGAAGTGTGGCTCGAGGCGCTGGCTCGGCTGCTCCGCCGCAGCGTGTAAGTGACGGCAGCTCCTGGCGCTCGCTCGCCGAGTCCAGCCCCTCAAGCGCCGGGACTCGCCCGCCCTCCCTCCTCGGCTCCCGGTGCCCTCGTCACGGTGCCCAGGGCTCCCTGGCACAGGTTGGGAGGGCCGGGTCTGCTCTCGGGAGGGGGTCCTGGCCCGGCGGGCACTCACGCCCCACCCTGTCTCTTTTCCCCCAGACATGCGGCGGGACGTGCAGGAGATCTTCCGCCTGACGCCCCACGAGAAGCAGTGCATGATGTTCAGCGCCACCCTGAGTAAGGAGATCCGGCCCGTCTGCAGGAAGTTCATGCAGGACGTGAGTAGGGCGAGACGGTGGCCGACCGCGTGCAGCAGCTTCCGCCCGCTGGCTGGGGCCCGAGCTGTGGCTGCTCCACGACACCCGCTGCCCTCACGGCAGGAGGATGCTGGGGGGCCGGCGCAGCCCTCCTTCCCTCCCCTCGGTCTGGCCAAGCTGGGAGCTGAGCTCGGCCTCCACCTGAGCCAGCCCGGAGCTTAGATCCGGCCGTTGGGAGAGAAGCACTTACTGGGGTTCGGCAGGCCCTCGGGGCAGCATCGCAGCACAGGAGCCGCTCGCTGGAAGGTCCTGGGCAGGCGGGGTGCCCAGGAGTGAGCCCCGCCCGCCCCCGCTCCCCTTCCCGCGCAGCCCATGGAGGTGTTTGTGGACGACGAGACTAAACTCACGCTGCACGGCCTGCAGCAGTACTATGTCAAGCTCAAGGACAGCGAGAAGAACCGCAAGCTCTTTGACCTCCTGGACGTGCTGGAGTTCAACCAGGTGACAGACGCTCGGGTCGCCCGTCTGGGGTTCTGGGCCTCTGGGCCTCGGGAGCCCAGGGCGCGGGGACTCTGGCCCTGACTGCGCCCCCCGCAGGTGGTGATCTTCGTGAAGTCAGTGCAGCGCTGCATGGCCCTGGCCCAGCTCTTGGTGGAGCAGAACTTCCCGGCCATCGCCATCCACAGGGGCATGGCCCAGGAGGAGCGGTGAGTGCCCGCGCCCCGCAGCCCAGGCAGCCCCGTGGGCGCCCCGCCCAGGAGCCCGTGTCTGACGGCCGCCTTGTTCTCCTGCACCCAGCCTGTCGCGCTATCAGCAGTTCAAGGACTTCCAGCGGCGGATCCTGGTGGCCACCAATCTGTTTGGCCGAGGGATGGACATTGAGCGAGTCAACATCGTCTTCAACTACGACATGCCAGAGGACTCGGACACGTACCTCCACCGGGTGAGTGGCTGCACAGAGGTGTCCCCTCCTAACAATCCCTCGGGGTGGAGGCGCGTGAGGGCCTGGCCCTGCTTGTCCACCCACGAGGTCTTGGCCTGATCCCTGCTCCCATCTCCCTGCAGGTGGCCCGTGCGGGGCGCTTTGGCACCAAGGGCCTGGCCATCACTTTTGTGTCTGACGAGAATGATGCCAAAATCCTCAATGATGTTCAGGACAGGTTTGAAGTGAATGTGGCAGAGCTTCCGGAAGAGATCGACATCTCCACATACAGTGAGGGACTTGGGCCGGCCGGGGGCCTGGTGGGGGGCTGTGGGCCCCATTCCCCCAGCTAACCAGCCTCCCCTGTGTCTTACAGTTGAGCAGAGCCGGTAACCTCGCGCCTGACGGACGGCCCAGGTCCCCCCTGCTCCCCCTCGTGCCACTAGTCCTCCTAGGCAACAGTGGCCTTTCTTTTACCGTTGAAAGCTGTAGATTTGTGTCAGAATAAATTTGTATTATGGAAGCCTGGCTCCCTGTCTCGTCTGTTTTGTGGTGGCTCCATGTTTCTGGGACACCCTGGGTCAGCCAGTGAGACCCCAGCCAGCGAGCAGTGCCACCTGTGTATCAGTGTGATATTTAATTTTAAGTGTCAACATAGAAAGGTTTATACAGATAGAAAAACATTACACACCATCCACAACCGTCCAAACAAGGAGGACCCTCTGCACCATGAGCAGACGGGCCTCTGTACCGTGAGCCTCGGGCAGTGGGGCTGGGAGGGGCCCTGCCCTCCTCCCACCCCGACCTCAGTCTTAGCTTACAGGGGCGCTGAACCCCAGCACCCTGGCCTCTCGTTCTGGAGCAAAGACAACCGGGGGAAAGGGCCAGGCAGGCACGGGAGCCCTGTCTGTCTGGGCCCTGGGCCAGCCCCGCCCCGCCCCCGAGCCCCGGTCAGTCAGCGGGGAGCAGAGAGGCAGCCAGAAGCAGGCCCAGCAGGTGGGACTCTCCACCCTGGCTGAGCCATCTGGGGCTTGGTGCCAGGCAGCAACTGTTGACCCCCCTCCGTCACGCACATGGGGGCCGAGGCAGGAGGCTGAGCAGAATGACGGGAGAGGAGGGGACAGTCTTCGGCATGTGCAAAAGCTGCTGCGGCCGCAGGAGCTGCTGGCCTGGCTTGAACTACCTGGTCACATGCTCCATCATATGCCAGACTCAGAAGACCTGAGGGCCTGGAGGGAAAGAAGCCCGGTGAGACCTGAGACCAAGCTGGCCGAGGCGGCCTTCCAGCCCGGCAGCCCTGGCCCAGGCTCTGCCTTACCCGAGTCTGACTCTGGCTGGAGACAGACGTGGACGTGGTGAACTCCGAGTACTTGTTCCCGGTGACCATGCAGGCCCACTTCCGGTACTCCTCCCTCACCTGGGGGCCCAGGGTGCCAGGTCAGGGAGGAGCAGGGGGGCCTCGGCGGCCCGCCCGCCCCCCGCGGCCGCACACCCACCTTCTTGTTGAGCAGGCAGTGCAGCACGAAGAGGAAGAGGCCCTGCAGGCAGTTGAGGACAGAGAAGACATAGGACAGCATCCAGCTCCGCGGGTCGAACATGAACAGGCCGAAGACCCAGGTGCAGCCCAGCACGAAGAGCTGGGCGACGGCCGTGATGGTCAGCACCCTGGGGGAGCAGGGCAGTGGCAGTGCGCCGTCGCCCCTCCCCTCCCGCAGCCCCCGCCGCGCCCCTGCGCTCACCTGAGCTTCTTCAGCTTCTTCACGTCCGGGTTGATCTCAGAAAACTTGAGCGTGAGCTTCCAGACGGTGGTGACGAAGATGACGGCGTTGCCCTGGGCGGGGGCACAGAATCAGGATTAGGGGCGTCCCCGGGGCTCGCAGGGAGAGCTGCCCTGGTGGGGCTCAGGCTGCGGGGGCGGAGCGGGGCGGTTACCAGGATGATGGCGATCACGGGGCCCAAGAAGCTCCAGAGGAAGCCGCCTCTCAGGTCCAGCCAGCAGCTGGGAGAGAAAGGGGATCCTGTCAGGGCCCTGGCCCGCCCCCGGCCCCCGCGCCCCGCGCCCCCCCTGCGCCCCCCCCGCCCCCCACACTCACTAGCGCGGGCGGCCGTAGCCCTGCTTGTTGGCGGCCGCCGAGATGGCCACGATGAGCAGCGGCACGCCGTAGCCGAGGAGGCAGAGCCAGCGCGTGCGCAGCCCCTGGCCCTGGAACACGCGCACCACGAGGAAGTAGAGCTCCAGGCCCTCGAGGGCCATCCAGCAGAAGGCGGCCAGGAAGCAGTAGTGCAGCAGCCCGGCCACCAGGCGGCAGCGCAGCCCCACCTGCGCGGGCGGCCACGTCAGCGGGCGGGGCCACGTCACGGGGCGGGGGCGGGCGGGGGCGGGCGGGCGGGCGGGGCGGGCGGGGCGGGCGGGCGGGGCCGCGTCGGCTGGGGCTGGCCCGGCGCTCTCAGGTGAGAGCGGGACCCCCACGGGCCGGTGCTCACCTCACCGCCTTGGTTGTCGATGCCCGCCAGGAAGATGGCGGAGCCCACGAAGAGGCAGATGCAGAGGTGCAGGTGCAGGGTAGTACGCGAGCCCTGGATGGGCCGCACCAGCAGGAAGGTGAGAATGCACAGCAGCAGGCAGACGAGCGACAGCGCCAGTCCCACAGTCGTGATCAGGGCCAGCAACTCGTCCTAGGCGCAGGGCGGTGGGTGGGCCGCCGTCAGCACCCTGAGGTTTTCTTGCCCTCCTTGTGGGCCCAGACTCCCGGGCCTGGCCTGCAGGGCTCTGATCAGGTGGCCCACCTCCCCCACCTCCTCTGCCTGCGACGTCTGAGCAGGCCTGCTGTGTCTCTCATTCTAAGTCACCCCACCCCTGGGCACAGCAGGGCTCCCCCTTCTCTTATGCTTCCCTGGCCACCTCCTGATCGGCCTCCCCACTGTGCACCCAGACTGCTCCTCCAATAAGGTCCCCAGTGAGCCCTCGCAGGCCACATCCCTCTTCTCCACCACTGAGGGGCCCACCTCTCTGCCCTGTCTCCTGCCCCTCCCACACCCGGCCCTGCCTCATGGCCCTGCCTATGAGCTCCCCAAATCCCATGGCCTTCTGCCTGGACCACCAGCCTCTCCCCCTCTGTCTGGCCCATTCCAGGTATCCCCATGGCCCAGCGCATCTGTGGCCCCCTGGGGCCACATCCAGAAAGCTGTGCTCCGTCAGGAGTGTTTAGCAATATTTAACAGCCAGTTCAGGGTGGGCAGTTGGGAGACTGGCCAGAGCAGAGCCTGCAGTGCCAGCCACACTGTTTAGTTGCTGGCTCATGACAGGGTCTGGGGGGTCCCAGGGAAGGGGCTGGGCTGTGCAGCAGGGGGCATCCTGGGTTGTACATACAGAACCAGTCGGGCCGCACCACCTGGCCCCTCGGCCAGCCCTGCCTGCTGTGGGCCTCTCAGGGTGGCCCCGGCCCTCACCTCCACATCGTAGTGGGCCATCAGGACGGCAAAGCTGCTGAGGTGGCTGCACTGGCAGGTGGTGCTGTTGTTCCGGCTGCCCAGCGTCCGGCACCCTGAGGTGGCCCAGTGCCCGCCCCCGTCGTCAGCTCCCTTCCAGAAGGCACAGATCAGCTCCTGCCGTGTCCCGGGCTTCTCTGGCTGTGGGCAGGTGGGGTTGACCAGAGAGGTTAGCCTGGAACCCCCCTTGGGTCCTGAGCGCGGGCTGAGGCTGAGGATGCTGTTCATTTGCAGCTTCCCGCTGAGCACCTGCTGCGTGTGCCAGGTGGGGGCGCAGCAGTGACCAGGGCAGACCCACGTCCCTGCCCTGGGGGGCTGACACGCTCGGGGAGACAGAGGGTAAATAATAGACCTGATAAGTAAGTAAACTAGACAGTGTGTTGGAAGGTGTTAGGTGCTATTTAAAAATATAAAAAGAAAGACACAGCGGAGGGGAAGGAGAGCTGTGGCTCCAGGTTGTAATTTTCAATCAGGAGGTCCGGGGAGGCCTAAAAGAGAAGGGGACATTTGAACACACTGGAAACAGGGAAAGGGCTGAGTCACGTGAGGGAAAGGTGTCCCAGGCAGAGGGCACAGCAAGTGCAAAGGCCCTGAGGTTTGAGGAAGGAGCAGAGTGGGCGCAGGTGGGCTGCAGAGGGACCACTGTGACCCTGGCTACCGGGTGAGCAGTGGGGCTGACCCCTCCCCGCCCCAGGACTCACAGGGTGGGAGAAGGCGAAGGTGACCTTGGGGTCGAGTTTCGTCGTGTTCGTGTTGCTCAGAAAGACCGAGTTGACGGCCGAGAGGAGACTCAACTGGACGCCATAGAGGGGGCTTTCGTGGGTCTCTTCCAGCTCGGCTTGCCTCTCCGGGTCCAGCTGCAGGGAGGCGTTGGCCAGCAGTTTCTGCATGTTGGGGTTGGAGAGGATGCCTGCCACGGCGGGGCCTGCGGACAGACACACCGGCCCGTCTGCCCTCCCTCCTCCCTGAGATGCCTCATCCAGCTGGCCATTCCTGGGGGCCCGTCTGACCCTCACCCCTGGCCACATCCCAGCCCCCTCCCTCTCCACGGGTGCCCCCGCACCCTGCCTTACCCGACCCCGCAGCCCCGGCCGCCACAGCCCAGTCCAGGAGCATCCGTGCGTGGCTCTGGCCCAGGGTGACGTTCCCATGCCCCTGCTCCTGGATCACCAGGGACAGCTCTGAGGGGAGAGGGGCAGTGACTGGGGGTCCGGGGCAGGACACGCGTGTAGGGCTGGGGCGGGCAGGGCAGGACGAGGCCTCACCTGTGCCTTCAGGAGACTGGTAGGTGAAGGAGGCTCCAGGCATGGCCTTGGCGAGGGTCCTCAGGACTTCTTCCAGGCCCGAGAGCAGGTGGGTGACCATGTGGTGCCGGTCAGGCAGGGCCAGGGTCTCCAGGTCCCCGGGGGCTTTCAGCAGCTCATCCACTGACTGGATGAGGTCCTGGGGGTGGTGGGTGACAGCCGCTGGGCCATCGCACCACAGGGGCCGCCTGAATGACCCAGCTCTCCCCCACCAGGGACACAGGAGGACCACCCGGGGCCTGCGGAGCACACCCGGGCGTCATCGAGACCCCGCAGGAGCCAGAAGACCAGTGAGGGCGCAGCCTGTGTCCTGTGTGTGTGTCACAGCCACGGCGCTCAACGTCCCTCAGGACGGGCCTCCTGCCCCTCCGCCCAGAACAGTTGCCACGAGCCACGTGGCCGTCGGGCACTGGAAATGTGGCTGCTCCAAATGGAGCTGAGCTTGAAGTGTGAAACACGCGGCAAAATTGCAAACACTTAGTTCAAAAGAATGTGCAATATCTCAGTGACATTTTTATGATTCTGTGTTGAAATGGTAATATTTTGGATCTATTGGGTTAAAGGCCATTTTCTCAGTAATTTCCCTTGTTTACTTGTACTTTTTTTTTTTAATGTAGCTACCAGGAAATTTAAAATGACATACGGGCTCCCACTTTTCTACCCGCTAAGCGTGCACCAGCTCCACCGTGCGCCCCCGGGGGGCCAGCTGCTGTTTCTGGAGCCTCTTCTCTTAGTTCATTTATGAAGTGAGGAGATGGGCGGGGGTCACTTGCCTGAAGTCACACGGCAGGGAGGGGCAGTGGGTGGGGCAGGGGATTTGAACCCTCGTGACCCAGCTCCAGAGAGAAAATCCTTAACTGCTCCCTTCTCCCCCTCGAGTGCACGCGCGCGTTTCAGGCTGTGTGGGCACGTCCGCGCTTGAGTAACCGGTGTAGACACAGTGTGTATATGGCGCACATGGACATGAGTCTCCCTGAGCAGAGGCCCTGCTGGGGCTGTCTCCACTCACACGGAAGCATCCCCCAGACACCGCAGGGGACTGTCCTGGGCCCCTGGGTCCTGCCCCTACCTGGACGGTGTCCTGGGCCGAGGCTGGTGTGAAGCGTCTGCGCAGATCCTGGACTCTTTCAAAGAAGCCTGAGAGACGCTGGGGGGAGGGGAGCAGAAGGGGTCAGGGAGTCAGGGAGCCTCGAGGGTGGGTGGGGAGCTTGGGGAAAACTGGCTGACGGGCGGTGGGGGGTGGAGGGTGGGGGGGTGGGGGTGGGGGGGGCGGGATTCCTGCCTCCTGGTCCCTGCTGGGGGCACTCACCTGGCTCTGGATTCCAGGGGGCGGAGTCCAGGTGGGGAAGGACATCTCTGCAGGGGACAGACAGGGGTTCATTAGGGCTGAGAGGGTCTGTGCTCGTTGGGGTGGAGTCTGGGGTCGTGTCAGATCAGGTACCTTCGCACACAGTGGTGTTTTGGTTGTCCCGGAGCCCCGGCAGGGGTGTCCACCCTCGGCGGCAGCGGCACCTGTATGAGCCCACGGTGTTGACACAGGCGGTGGAGTTGTGACATGGATGCTGACTGGAGCTGCACTCGTCGACATCTGGGGACACGAAGATGGGGTCAGGCCAGGTCACAGCCTGGATGAGGCCCCTCTCCCCTCCATGCCCCGCCCCTTCTCCATATTTGCATCCCCTGGCCCACTCGCTGGAGGTGATGCCACTTGGTGACGGCACACCCCGAGTGGTGACCCCAGGTCATGGGGAGTGCAGAGGTGACTAGCAGGTGAGCCGGACGGATGTGCAGGTTGTGAAATAGTGGGACCCTTCACCCCAGTTAGTAATCAGCTGCTGCCTGGGGTCCCGTGACCCTTCCCCGTGGTACCCCAGCTCCTTCCCCAGGACCCCCAGATCTTTTCACATTTGGTCTCAAAAGGCATAGTGCCTGGCCCAGCAGGCACCCCCAGCCTTCATGCTGTTGGGTCTGCTTGGGAGCCATCGAGTATGTGAGCAGCTGTTCTGGGTGGGGGTCCCCAGGAGTGCAGCCGCCGAGCTCTGGACCTGCACAGACGGTGCTGTCTGGGCCTTCGGGGGACCCAGGAACCGGCTTCCAGCCAGGGCGGCAGCGGCACTTGTAGCTGCCCACGACGTTGAGGCAGTGGGTGGAGTTGTGGCAGGGATTGTGCCCCAAGGCACATTCGTTCACATCTGAGGACAAAGCCAGAGGGTCAGGCCCTGCCCTCCACTCACTGCACGCCCCTCACTGCCCGGCACTAGGACCCCAGCATTATTGCACGCGCCACCACCTGGTGAACTTCACCTTCACCCTCAAAGCACCATATGGTGGCCTCCCTGCAACGTGGCCTTGCAGGGACCATGGCCCCCAGTTTACAGGCAGAGAAACCAGGAGGGAAACTGAGTCATGAGGGCTGGACTTTTTGACCAAGGACTCTTGCTGGCTCCATCCCAGGCCCTGGTCCAGGTTCCCTTTCTGGAAAGTGGAAGTGACAGCTTCCTCTGCTCCCGTGTGACAGACGAGGAAGGGGCGAGGTCTAGGGGTGCTCTCAGGGGCAGGGGGATCCACGGGGGACCCAGGCCCAGAGACCCGTCTGCCTCCCTGCTCTGTCGGGGACCTTCAGGGAGGCGGTCCCCTGGGCAGGCTCCACAGGTGTCAGCGTCGCAGGGCCTGAGGATCGGCTCCTCCTTGGGTTGCAGGACCCGCCTCGGCTCCTTCCCAGTCCATCCAGCCTCGGTGTCTACCCGGGGCTCTACCTGTGCACAGATTCGGGTCCTTCGGGTTGAGCTCCAAGCCGGGCGGGCACGTGCAGGTGTAGCTGCCCAGGGTGTTGATGCAGACACTGCGGCCTTTACAGATTCTGGGTTTCTGCTGACATTCGTCCACATCTGCAAGGGGAAGGAGAGGTGACATGGCCTGCAGCCGTGGGCAGCCCTCTGGGCTGGGAGGCAGCCACGTTTCCTGGCAGAGAAGCATCTGGAAGGCCCCACTGTCTGTTCCCGGGTGAGTGGGCGCCTTTTCTCATTCACGTGGAGGCCTGAGGATGGATGTGGTGGCCTGGATGCGCTGATGTCCAGAAGTGGCTGGAGGCAGCCTGAGTCCTCCCTGTCCCCAGCTCTGACTCCCTCAGCCTCCCTGGGCATCTCCCAGCCCGGGTGGGGACAGCAAGGCCACCTGTCTCTGAGGATGTGGTCATTGGCCAGGTGGGCCTCCCTGGGATTGAGAGCAGGGAAATGCTGCGTTCCCCGAGCAGCGCTATCCTGGACCCAGTGATGGCCTTTGCTCAGGGTGGATGCTTCTGGCTGAGTTCTCCTTGGAATCCCTGTGAGCATGACAGGACAGTGCTCTCCCATCCACGCTCACTCTGAGACTCCAGCTCCGTGGAAATGGACCACGAGCCACCCATGAGCCAGGCCCCTGCAGAAGGAGGCGTTCAGCAGAAGAAGGGAAAGTGAAGATAGTGCTGGACAGTCTAGGGCGTTCTGGCCAGCGGGCGCCAGGCTGGGTGGACAGTGGGGCTGACTGACATCCGGCCAGGCAGCCTTGGGGCTGTGAAGGTGCCTTTTCCTGATTCCCATGAAGACATCCTCTGGACTGACAGAAGTGGAGAGATTCACGTCGGATCAAGGCCAGCAGTGGGCGAGGGCTGGGTTGCTGGAAGGGGAGCAGGTGCTGATGGGCGAGGGGTGACGGAGGTTTCTGTGTTCTCAGCCCTCGGCCTCCCCACAGAGACGCAGAACGGTGGGCCTCTGCCTCCATCTTCTGGGCCCAAGTGGTGCTCCCTGGATTGGCCCCCTTGGGAGAGGGTCAGCCTGGGACGATGGTCCATGATGACGCCCTCTCTTGCCATTTGGTCCAGACAGGAGCTCTTCTGTCACCTGATTCTCTGAGTTTGTGTAGGGGGTTCCCATGTCATGCTATCCACCCCCGACCCTGCTCCCCCTGGGTCCCGGTCATCCACACTGCCCACGGGCCCATGAGCTGAAACTACTGGGGAGGGTCCGGGCAGCGCCTTGTTCAGAGAAGTCGATGGAGGCTGAGCCACCGGGTCAGGTGCCAGGAGGCATCGTCACCAGCGGGGTTGCCGGCCAGGGGCATGGTTGGCCGGGGACGGTGGGCCCGCCCTCAAGCCTCCTCTGAGTTTCTAGATGGGGGTGGCCGAGGGTCTGAGGGGCTCCTGGTGGCCGAGCCACGTGGCACCGCTGGGGCTGGTCTTGGGTGGCAGTAACTGATGGCGGCAGAGAGGACACACGGCCTGCGCCCCAGCCTTGTTTGATGCCAATAAGACGCCTGGTAGGCAGGGGCGGAAGGGACCCTCTGTGGGGGGTTCTGAGCCATGGGGTTCAGAGAGGGTCGGGGGACCAGATGGGGGCCCAGGATGGCCTCTGATGCCTGGAGAAAGTGGGGTGAGGGGCCCAGGGCCGGCCCAGGCTCCTGCCCCAGCACACTGCCTGCCAGGGCCCGGGCGGATGCATCTGTGGTATGGCGACGGCTGGAATGAGGTGGGGGCTGCACAGACGGCCCGGCTGATCCCGGCACAGAGGGCGGCACAGAGGGCGGCAGGCCCTGGCCCAAGCTAGCAGGCTCACTCTCCTCATCGCCCACCCTGAGGCCTGTGGGGGTCCCTCTCCCACCTCGCTCTTTTTTTTAGGTAGCTCTGAGCTAACTGCTGCCAATCCTCCTCTTTTTGCTGAGGAAGCCTGGCCCTGAGCTAACATCGTGCCCATCTTCCTCTACTTTATATGTGGGATGCCTACCACAGCATGGTGTGCCAAGCAGTGTCATGTCCCCACCCGGGATCGGGATCGGAACCGGGGAACCCTGGGCCGTGAGAAGTGGAACATGCGCACTTAACCACTGCGCCACTGGGCCGGCCCCTCCCACCTCGCTCCTGTTCATCCCCGTCTCTGCTCAGCGGCTGAGTCCTCTTCTCTCAGCCCTGGCCTGCTTCAAACCCAGCAACGCGCCGCCTCAGTATCCACAACCACCACTGCCTGTGCTGGCGGCTCAACAGAGTGGGCGGGCAGCACCCCCGGCCCGGGCACAGTGAGTGGGATCCACGACCACCATGTGCAGTTGTGCAGGTCGCTCACTGCAAGGATATCCAGCCAAGGGGGCAAGTGGGGGCCGAACACCAGCTCTCTCCCCCTTCCCCAAGCACACTGTGTTCACCTGGCCACAAGCGGCCTTTGTCCAGTTCACGTGAAGACTGTGTCCGCTGGCCAGGCCACAGGGATGGGGCACAACATCCACCCACAAAGGGCCCCGGTGGACCAGCAGCAGGTGGATGGAGCCCCCCCGCCGCTGGGCTCCAGGAAGGTGCAGGTCCCCCTTCCCTCCGGCCAGGAAGCTCTGCTGCCCTGGGCCTGCACGCGGGAGGGGCTAGGACCTGCGAGTCCGTGGTGTCCCCACCCCCCGCTGCAGGGCGGTGTCCTCACTCCCATCCCGGGCCTCCCCTTCTGGCTCCGCCCTGCCCGCCTGCCCCTCAGCAGGAGTGATGCGGTGCCGCCTGGAGGCTGCTCCTCCCAGCCTGAGGTGGGCGCCAGAACCAACAGTGTGACTGTGGCAGGGCCCGCCAGGGCTGCTGCCCCCTGAGCGCCCCAGGGGCCGGCCCAGGATGCCCGGAGAGGGCACCTTCGTTGGACACGATGATTCTAATTTTAAAACCCAACGGCCACCACTGTTGAGCGCTTTGCAACCTCATGCACCTTCCCAGCGATTCTATGAGGGGCCACATTGTCACCTCCCTTCTACAGATGGGTGGACTGAGGCACAGAGAGGCCAGCCAACATGTCCAAAGTCACACAGTTAACAAGAGGCAAAGCCACTTTTGTCTATAAGATGGGAGCTCTTTTTTTTTTTTTTACAAAAACACAAAGTCACAATAGTATTATCACATCCTGCATGTTAACAGTGATTTCTGGACGAGCACCCTGGGTGGGGCCACACAGCCAGCGGGCGCAAGCTGGGGTGGGCGCCCTTGGCTCTGTGCCGCCTGCCTCTCTGGGCTGGAGGGACAGGCGCAGGAACCTCGTCCCCACCCAGACCTGTAAGCCGGGCCCTGCCCCTGGACACTGCAGGAGTGGCTCAGGTGACCCCAAATCTCACGACGAGGGGATGGAAGATGAGAGGTGGTTCTTACCTTGACACGTGTTCTCACTCTCGTTTCTGAACGTTGCTGCCCCAGAAACGAGCCCATATCCTGGGCTACATGTGCAGTAGTAGCTCCCATCCACGTTCTGGCAATCCGCGAATTTTCCACAGGACACCGCCAAGGGTGGTCCACACTCGTTGATGTCTGGAACACAACAGGGCAGAGGGTCACCTCCCAAAGGTGAGAGTTCCTTCAGGGCAGAGATCCCATCGCCTACCGGACTCCCCAGCAAGGGGCCTGATACTTAATCAGTGTCTTTTTGGAAAGAATTAGCCTCTCAGGCAACACTGCTGAGGCTGGGCCGTGGCTGGAGCAAGCACTTCCTGAAGAAACCCACTGCAATATTGTGATTTATAAGAAATATGGATTTGCTCATTCAGATGACCAAAATATATTTTCTCATATATATTCGGCATTCGCACACAGTTCCTGGCTCACAGTTCCCACAACCCTTGGAATTTCCTAAGTGTTGAGAGTGATAACCGTGTCTTTTGTTTTGTTAACGAGGTGACCTTCGGAAAGCACCTAAGGATGGGAGCTGGTTGCCCAAGGAGCACAGTGTGACTAGAGGGTTGGAACTTTCAGACCCTCCATGCGCCCCTGTGGGAAGGGAGGGGGCTGAGGTTGAATCAGTCACCGGTGGCCAAAGACTTAATCAATTGTGCCTATGGCATGAAGCCTGCATAAAACCCCCCAAAGGACAGGGTCCAGGAGCTTCTGGGCTGGGGACACGAGGAGGTGCAGGGAGAGGGGCCACTTGGAGAGGGCCTGGGGCCACGTCCTCCCGCACCTCACCCCCTGCGGCTCTCCACCAGGCTGTCCCTGAGGTCTGTCCTCTTCCCACAGACCGGCGTCTAGGAAGTAACACGCTTCTCTGAGATCTGTGAGCTGGGCCAGCGAGCTGAGCGAACCTGAGGAGGGGTCTGGGCACCGCGGACTTACAGCGCCTGCTGAAGTTGGGGGGCAGTCTTGTAGGACCAAACCCTCAAGCTGTGGGGTCTGACGCTCTCTCCCGGAGACAGTGCCAGAGCTGAGCTGAATCGCAGGACCCCCAGCTGGTGTCCCGAGGGTCGCTTGTTGGAGTGGGGACCCCTCCCCATGGGGTTGGCACCAGAACCCACTGACCCACCCAATTAGTTCACTCTTCTCGGCCCTGGGGCTGGCATCCCAGATGTGGACACAGTGGGAAGAGCCGGAGTCGGGGGTGCAGACGCTCTGCCACCGCCCAGTCCTGAAGGGTCCAACGAGGCCCACGTCCAGCCTCCTGGAGGCCGGCTCATCCCTCTGCAGGAAGCCATGCCTGTCCACTTCGATTTTCCACCTTCACATCTTTTCCTTTCTTTTCTCTGCTCTTGCTGACGATCCCAAGGACAAAGGCTGAGGCCCCAGCCAGCCACCACATCCCCTGAGGGCCCTGGGCTGTGCCCCACCGTCCCCACGTGCCCCCACCACCCCAGGCCCCGACTGTACCGTCACAACTGTCTGCAGGGCTGGTGATGATCTCCCCAGACCAGGAGCTGAATCCCGAATGGCAGCGACAGGTGGCGGCATTGACACATACGGAGTTCCGAGGGCACCAGGGAGCACAGCCTGGAGGGGCAGAGGCTGCGGAGGCAGAGGCTGTGGGACAAGGACCATGGTCAGAAGGTGAGGGCTGGGCCAGGGGCTGGGGGCCGGGGCAGGGTCCAGGGTCCCTCCCCAGGCTCTGGAAGTGGGCCCAGCTGCTCCCAGCAGACTCACCCCACTGCCCGCCTCCAGCTTCCGACAGAATCAGCAAGACACCCAGCACTGGAACAGAGAGAGGGAGGGTCAGGGTGGACCCCAGAGCAGGGATGAGTTGGCAAGGCTGCAGGGTGACGGGTCTGAGGGCAGGGCTGCCGACACCCAGAGCTCTGTCCATTGCTGGGGAGAGAGCCAGCAGGGGCCACTGCCTGGGCTCCCACAGCCTCCAGCGCCATTGCCTGGGGTGGGTTTCAGGAACCGAGGGATGGGGAGGGGCCTGAGCCCGGGGGTGGGGGTATTGGCTCTGGCTGACCTTCGGGCAGCAGCTCAGTCAACAGACTGGAGCGAGGCAGCCTTGGTTCAAATCCCAGACCTTGGTCAGGTTAGCCGCCTCCCAGTGCCTCAGTTTCCCTTCTGGAAAATGAGGACGGGACCCACTTTCTGACTAGGGTGTGAGTCAAGCACGCAGACACCACCCGCTGTGTGGAAGTGTGCGCCATCATCATCATCTCTTTATGGACAAACGACGGGTGGGACCAGGGCTTCTCCTGGGTCCTCGTGAATCTACTCCCGCCCCAAATCCTTCCTGGGGGACACAGGTGCACGACACCACGCCCACAACGTCTGTCAGCCCCAACGGCTGGCTTGGGACCCAGCGGTGACGTTTCACCCCAGGCTCCCCACACACAGGAAGACGTGGTGGGCTCTTGGGGTGGCGCGAGTGGCCCCTCCTCCTGGGGCATGTCCTGGGGGCCTCCTCAAGTCCCAGGGCCTGTAAGATGGGGTCTTTTTGCCGTTCATGAGAGGGACAGAGAAGGAGAGAGAGGAAAGAGAGAGGAGAGACAGGGGCCACCTGGTGGCATAGTGGTTAAGTCTGGCATGCTCTGTGTTGGTGGCCTAGGTTTGCAGGTTCGGTTCCCAGGAGCAGACCTACACCACTCATCAGCCATACTGTGGTGACGAGCCACATATAGAGTGGGGAGGAAGATTGGCACAGATGTCAGCTCAGGGCTGATCTTCCTCAGCAAAAAGAAAAAAACGTATGAGACACAGAAACAAGGAGACAGAAAGATGGAGAGAGAGAAAGAGACAGAGACAGAAAGGAACAGAGAAAAGGGAATAAAGACACAGAGAGAAGAGAAAGGAGACAGAGAAGGAGAGAGAGAATAAAGAGATGAGAGAGAGAGACAGAGAGACAGGCAGAAGTTAAGACGGAGATAGAGAGAGATGGGCAGAGAAACAGGGAACCCGGGCAGAGAGGCCAAGATGGCAGAGAGATGGAGGGGGAGATAGAGGAACAGTCGGATGGGGCAGTGGAAACTGGGCAGGGCTGAGGGGCAGCAGGTGGAGGCTGGGGAGGCCATGGGGAGACGTCCAGCCAGTCCCTGCCCATCTGGCATCTGGGGACAGCACAGACACGGAGAATCCAGGGTGACCCAGGGGGGGGGGGGGGGGGGGACACGCGTGAGTCACTTCCTGGGCCCCGGGAAAGGCTGACTCAGCGCTGCCCCTGGAGGGGCTCCCCGGGGAATTCCGGGGTCCTCATTGTGAGCTGGCTTGAGGGGCTGTGGGGCTGCAGACCCGAGGGGGCTCTGGCCGCTCGCCCCTGTGTCCAAACCTGATATCCAGCAGGCTGGTAAGGGGCAGAGACTTCGCTGGGCCCAGAGGCCCTCCCCACCGGGGTAAACTGAGGCCGGAGCGCCTGCCCCTCCCTCACGTGAGGCCCCCCTCTCTTCCTGCGATTCGGCCACAGGGCTGGGCTAGTTCCCCGCTCGCCGCGCCCCGTTGCCCAGTTCCTCTTTGCCGGGCAGACCACAAAGCGGCCCTCCCGACGGGAGCCCCGCGCCGCCGCCCAGGGCAGGGGCTCGGCTCGAGCGCCCCCAGGCTGGGAGCTTCCGGGGGACAGGGGTCCGCAGACCCGCGCGGGAGGGCGCTCCGGGCCGCGCCGCCGTCTCCTCCGGGGCCCTGGCCGTGGCCCAAACAGGAGCGGGCAGGCGCTGCTGGCGGGCGGCTGCGGCCATCTGGTCCGCTCCTCGGCCGGGCCGGAGCGGCGGGCACCGCCGAGGGACCCCCGTGCTGGGACCGCCGGGCAGGCCGCCGCGCGCTCTCTGCTCTCCGCTCGCTGCGCGCAGCAGGCGGGGCGCGCACCCCGGGAGCCTGGAAGCGGGCTCACCGCTCGGCAGGTGCAGAAAGGGAGGCTCGGACTCCGAGGGGGCCGCCCGCCCGCCGCCCGCGCGCCTCTCGGATTCCATCTCCCGCTCCCGTCGGGGGGGTGGGGGGCGCTGAGCTCAGGCCTGCCCCGGGCCGGCACAGGGAACCCCCTGGAAGCTCCCCGAATGCCACTTTGTCACTCTCTTTGTTGCCCGATTGCTCGGGCGACGTGCGCCCGGTAACAGTTAGGACCGCCGGGGAGGCGCGTCCACGCGGAGCGGAGCCTCAGGGGCCCGCGGGCTCTGAGGACGGACCGGTTCTCCGTTCAGAGCAACTGCCCGCGGGGACGGCCCAACGGTCCCTTTCTGCCCCTCCGTCTTCCCCCGTGCCTCAGTTCCCCCTCTTAGGGAGCGGCCCCTAAGCGGCTCCCTCAAAGAGCGCAGGGGGCCCTCTGGGGGGGGGGTGGTCTCGGAGCAGCGGGGCTCCCGCCGGGCGTGGGGTCCCGGGCGCCGCCCCTCCCTTTCCCCGTGCTCCCGGGGCCGCCGGCCGCGCCTCGCACTCTCCACCGAGAGGGGGTGACGTGCCGAGGGCTGGTGCCCGGGGCTCCGGGGTCCCCCCGAGGGGCTCAAACTGCTCACCGTGTGGGACGAGAAGGCCGCCGCGGCGGGCGCCTCCCATGGTGGGCCGCGCGGGGGAACCCAGGACCGGGCAGGCGTGCGGCTCCCGCGCTGGGCGGCGCCCCGCGGCCCGGGCCTTTATGGAGGGCGGGCGGGGCGGGGGGGGGGGGGG